AAAGTAACTCACCCACCTATGTTGAATATCTTTTTCTAAGAAAATTACTTTTTGATTTTCATCTTTACTACACTTTACTTGAGTTAAATCTTTACTTTTCTTTTCTCTTTGTTTGGCTAGTTTGTACATATATTTTTCAATATCTTTAGTATCTAATCTATTATAAAGATCATTAAAAGCAGAATTTTTAGCATCACAGATTGTTCTTTTAGACTCCCTGCAAGCCGTTTGATATTTTCTCCAGTTCTCTAAGCTTTTACATTTAAACCAATTTTTATAACATAACTTCTTATATTTTATCTTTTCTTGCACATTATTATTCCACCAATTATTTTTATTTGTAAATATTTTTTCTTTTGATTCTCTAAACACATCTTTTGCTACTTGTTTAATAATGTTTGTTACTTTATCCCACATCACATTTGCTTCTTCATGAATATCCCAAATTTTAAAATTTTTAATTTTACTCATAAAAATAGTTTTGTTTTAGTGACTTTTAGGTTCTCTCATCTAATTCTACGATGAAGAGTCTTAGTATTTTTTATTTTACAACTTTTCATCTTAAAAATCAATGTTGGGTACTTAAATCCTCACTTAGAATGATCATACAATCTTTACAATCTCGACGATCTCTTTTTCTCATAAAAAAATAATCAAATTGTGTTTTATTAGATCCACTCTTATAAGTAATAAGATGTTCATCTCTTTTCTTGAATAAAGTATTAGTAATAACAAAATCATACGCTAAATTAAAAGCTAAAATGACTCTACTTTCTTCATTAGTCACTCCAAAACCGTAACCACCATGAATATTTCTGAAATCTTCTACCACTGTACCGACATGTCCATTTAAATCTCCTCTAATGAATTTTTTTTTTCAAGAAGTATGATTTGTTTTAAGTCTTCTAAGTCATTCCAGAATTTATCTTTAGACCCTGTATCTAAACCTACTTGAGAAGCATAAACACTTATAATATTAAAAATTTTAGTATCAATGATAATCTTAAGGGCACCAACTCTATTAATTTTTACAACATTATCTTTCAAACTCTTATCTATAATTACACCTACACCATTTCTAGTGCGACTCTTACCAGAATACCAAAGTTTAAAATCTAAATTATCAATCTCCTTAGTCATTTCTCCAACCCACTTAGTTTCTTGAATTTATAAGATATTATTTTTCCTATGATTCATAATATCAACTAATTCCATTAATTTACCATTGAGAGTGCCTATATTCCAAGATCCTATCCTAATATTAGTTTCATTAGTTTCATGGACTAACTTCTTTACCCGCATTCGCCCGTAATGTGGGAACCCTTGCTTATTTAACACTAGACCCGGACGCCGGTGTAGCGGCCCTTGCACACTTTTCACTATATTTAGGCTATACAGCGCGTCGCTTCTAGGGGACTGACGACTGTTTTTTAACTTCGTGATTTGAAAAGTGGTGATTTTGTGATTTTGAAAATAATTTAAATATGAATATAACCTCCTTTTAATTTTTAAAAATAACATTTTAATTTTAAAATAGGTGAGACCAAATGGGTCTCACGTTTTAAATAGTTTAGATGATTAAATACAATACTACAAGTAATACACTTATCCCGAAAAATAAATATATCACTTGTAATAGAGATTCAATCACTTAGACTAAAGAATTTGTGACATCCGTTTTTGTCTGCGAAATATTTTATAAAAAAAAGGGGCCAACAAGTTCCCCTACCTAACATAAAAATTTAGATAGGATTTATTTTATCTGGGTTCCAGGTTCCCCATAGAGACAAACCCCTATAGTTAATTACATCTTAAATGACTGAGGGTCACTTAAGAAAACTCTCTATTAAGATCAGGTGGTTTTGCCTTCAAGATTTTAAAGTTTAGGCTTTCACGATTGGACATCGGAAAATCAAATGGGAATGACTTAAAATAGGAACAATTATTTGAGGAATTCAAAATGAAGAAAAGTAGGGGATATCAAAGATTTTGGGAAAACTCCGATGAACTCCCAACTATCCTATTGTTTGACTTTATGTCTTTTGAAATTATTTAATTTGAAATTTCAATCTTGCAAATTATTTAGGATTTAGGACTTATGTTTACACAATATCGGATTGTGCAAATAGTCTAAAAAGATAGGAGGATTTACACCGTACCGCACAGTAACCTCGAAATCCTAAAGTGTTAGGACTTATAATTACACAACAGGATTGTGCAAAATGCCTAAAAGGTGATCCTATGAGTTGTTATTTAAACTAAATAAAGTGTATAGGTGATGTGAAGATGTTTATGTGGTGTGTTTTAAACTTTTGCTGTTGCAGATCCGCCTTGAAGTTGTTTCTCGTCGTGTTTCCCACGATGTTCGCTCCAAACTCCTCGTAGTAGCACCTCCTGATTCAATTTTGATTTTGAAAATGCACATAACCACTAGGTTATTCTAATCTAAGGCATAATGTGTATAAAAAATAACTAAACATGCAGTATAAAAGAAAGGAACAATATAGTGTACAGTAGAAATAAAAGACAGTATAACATGCTGAGAAAATACTATAACAGACTATGAGAACAATATAACATGTTATGAAATAAAATGTTATAATGTAAATTAAACCTGTATACCTGGGAGGTTCATTGTTTCTTTAAGTTTAGTTATTATGCGCTGTGTAAAAGGGGAAAATATGACCTGAAAAATACTTGAGAAAAATAAGTAAATCATAGGAAAAAGACAAGCAAATAAAATCGTAGGAAAAAGACAAACAAATAAAACAAAACACAATATCACATATAAAGGACCAAAAATAAGAGATTTATATGTGATATTGAGAATGTTCTTAATCGCCAGGAGGATCTGAGTGTAAGACTCAAGCTCAAATTCCGGAGCATTGGGCTTCAGTTTTGGTCAAGTTAAGACAAGAATTTAATTATTTAATTTAATTAGATTAGTCATAAATCTCAATCTAGTGCACCCTCGTATCTAGTGTCCTAATTATCTCACAAACTGGGGTAAGATGTTTGGTTTCTTAGGTTCATTTGAACATCAGAAGGATGATAAATTCTCTCTTAAGGTGTGCTCCTAAGACCTAGGAAGCCTATATTTTAATTTGGGTCTGAAGTGTTCTAA